TGCATCCAAATACATGATAAATGATGAAGCTTCATTAGGATTATAATTTGGAAGGAATTGATTATTTGCAATGTGCTGTCTCTCCGAACATTGACCAACACCGCCACGAATACCATTTTGAAAAAAATGCACCATGTCTATATCAGTTAACAATTCCAAATGGATGCCTGTATATTTCAACAAAGCGTCCCAAGAAAGACCTGGAGATGTGAAATAATGTGCAGGATCCAATGTATATGTACTCAAATTCATGTTTCTGAAATTTTCAAAAGTATCACACAGTAATAGAACATCTGATTTTAAGTAAATATCAGAATATTCACCCAAATCATGACAATTGAATGTTTTCCATACCTGCTTCACTCTATCATATTCATTATCAGAAATATGTCTTTCATTCAGTTTGTCAAAAAAGTCCGCCTTTGATGGTATAGATGAATAATTCAATTTATCTAAAGAATCGATGAAACTGTATGGAAAAACACCTTTCTGTCTCATAAGTTTAAATTTATCATTTTCTGGAAAATGTTTTCTCATTTCCACAAAATGTTTCTCATCTAAATTATCGCCCAACTCTTGAAGAGATGCACTCATAAATTTGAAACTATCAATGAACCTTAATTTCAAAAATACTTTTTTCAATTGCCCATTTCGATTTAATTTGTTTTCCATAAATAAATGTTTCGTGAAAGAAATATATTTCTCTTTAGTTTGAGCGAGGACGTCAACTTTACTTTTATTGGTGCATAAATCTTTTATGAACAAGTGACAGTCATACCCACTGAGATTATGGAAAATGATCGGAATGAAATTGGGCAATTTGAAATTGAGATTACATATGGAATGTGTTGCTCCAGTTCTTTTTTTTCCTGTCAGATGACAGTGATCACGGAATTTTAATGTCATTCTCTTCGAATGTCTTTCCACATATAGCACATGTAGTGGCATTATTGAAATCATTTTCTTCCTCAACAGTCAAAGGGTTCATTGGAACGATATTTTTCAAATATTTGTGATATATATTGGTGACGTCAGCCTCCAACTTTGAAATGAAAACTTTAGATGCATCAGCCCCTCTATACAATACGAATTTTGAAATTGAATCATCAAAAGAGCACTTTATGAAATATGAGAAAGCGTATGGTTCATGAAGATAGGTTCGATTTGTGAAAGACTTAGCAGGATTTGGCTCATTTGTGTGCAGTGGTTTAAGGATTGATTCCAAATCAGCATACACGGTGAATGGAACTCTCAACTGTTTCTCAATATTTTCAAATTTCAAAATATTCTCAGGTACGCATTCACCGAATTTATCAACTCTGAATTTGGGGTTGGTGTTGTTGTCGATATGTGATTACAATCATTCAATTGATGTCGCAATAAACCCCGCTCATTACTAAAGTATAATAAACAACCATCACAGAAATATTTTCTATGTTCATGTGCTGATATTTGAGATGATACTAATCTCGATAAATCTTTAATCCAACAATAATGACTGTTACCAGAATCATCCATTATATTAAGCAGATTCACATGACTATTAAGTCTACGTTTCGAATAATGTAACGGGCCTACAACATCATATGAATCTTTACCGTTTTTGAAACATTTTTCTAAACCATAAACATTGATAGAGCAATCATTCATAATCTCAAATTTAGGAATATCTTTCAACTTTACTGGAAAATCCATACCTGCTACATTCAACACGGTAGAGAAGTGAGGATATGATGAAATTTCACACACTCTCACACTGGCAGGATACAGAGCTGAAGTTACAGCCCGTGCAAAACAGTATTGATCTTGATTAATAACATTCACAACACTTGTCTTCGACCCAATGAATTTGGGTAACTTGATATAAGAAGAGCTTCCAAGGGGGCTATACTTGTTGACATTTACTTCCATAAACAGAATTTCCTTGATAGTCCAAACTGAAAATTTATTTTCTCTTCACATCTAATAACCAATTTTGTGAATACATCGCTTACTCGAATCTCGATGTTGAAATTCCATTGCTTGAACAGTTAAAGCATCGATAAAAATGTTATAAATCACATTCAAATCATTCGATTGATCGACAACTTGATTGGGACTATTGAATGATTTTACTTCTAAAAACTCCTTAGTTTGAAGACAGTAACGTCCAAACACCTCCATATTGACTTTCACACTTTTATGGACCACTAACACTTCTTCGAGTAGTTTAAAAAAATTTCGCTTCAATTCATTGAAAAATGTGGGGTAATCAATGTGATGGTTTTGACTATCCACTCTATAGTTCACAATTCTACACTTGAATGCTGTGCGTATGATTTTAACACCGTCAACATATTAAATACATGCATTTGTTCTATGTTGCAAAGTCCTCCGATGAATATTCATCTGATCACTTGCAATATTCAAATTGCAACACAAACAGGTTTGCATTTCTGGAATATTGGAGGGTTTAATCGACCTCTTCGACATTGATGGTCCTTCATTATTTGCAAGAATACATGATTCTCGCTGATGACGACGCAAGTTGTCACTCCGAGTGAAACTATTTCCACATTCACTACACGTATACATCTTTTATATAATACCACACGATTATGATGAGAATATGGACAAAAAAAAAACATTCACAACACACATGTTATATGTGCACAACCCCCCACTCCAATTCAAGTTGATTCTATGACATTTTACTAAATATCACTCAAACTCAAAGTAATACATCAGTGATATCGTTAAAAAATTTTCCCAAGGTCATATGACGTGTTCGTAGTTCAAAATCGCTTAGGAAATTTCCAAGGTCATGTGACATATAACCATGCAAGGTCAAATCATAGACGTAGGGTAAAAAGCGGTTCACGCTCATGACATCACACACAACTCAATGCCAAAGTCATGGGCGGAGAATGAAAAAGGGGTTCCACCTCATTATGTTACACACAACTCAAGGTCAACTCATAGGCGGAGAATTAAAAAAATCAAGGTCACAGTCAGTGTTGTGGATCTGGGGGGGCATACCCTTGGGGGGAGGTCCAGACCCGTCTTTCCTCCCCTACTCATTCCATTTCCTATTTTTGCATACTGTTTGCAAAAACTCAAATAATATGAAATTAATTCATTTGCCACACTTCGTATTCCTGAATCTTGCAGGGAGTCCAACAGCTGTTGATGATCCACAGTATTGAAAGCCTTTGCAAGATCCAGGAACACACATACGGTTGGAAATTGCATCATTGGTCGATAATTTTTCTCTGAACCCATACTGCAAAAATGATATAACGTTATTCTCATCAAGAAAAACATTCATTTTTGATTTCAGTGACTTTTCCAAAACATTTGTAATTGAAGTAATCAGAAAGATCGGCCTATAGTTACAAGTATGAGATTTATTGACCTTTTTATATACCGGGGTGACAACTGAAATTTTGAATTTAGATGGAAATTTGTCAGTGTCATATATTTGATTAATGAGATGTGCCACTCGTTCAGATATTTCGCCAGAGACTTCTTTCAAAATTTCCGCAGTTATATCATCGAAACCTGGTGATTTGTTAATCTCAAGTGAATTTATGATACTCACAATTTCATTTTTGTTTACAGAATTGAAGAATATACTTTCTTGTATTGATGTTCTCTTTGGTGGTGGATTTGATGGCTTTTCAATTATTTCAGCATATTCTTCTCCAACATTGACAAAATAATTGTTAAATGTATTTGCTATCATCTTTGTATCAGTTACGAGTTTGTTTTCATTATTAATTTTTTTTATTGTATCATATTTTTTAGGGCTCGGATTTACAATTTTCCAAGTGTTGTTCATGACGAAGAATTTCAAGAACGAAGTTTCAATGATGAACGAGAACGGTAATGTTTCCTACTTATTCATCAAACTCAAACACCTGTTCATGTAGCTGCAGTTCCGTAAGAAGGTATCATCTTACCCTCCAACCGATTTCCTGGAGTTTTTGAAGTAGACTAGATACTCGTTAGAATAACAGGAGGATTGTTTCGAATTCTTGGGGTTCTTGTTGAATACTCTTCGTGAGCAAAACAATAGCAAAATCAATACTCCTGACCGCTCTGGACTGAATGATTCTCAATTTATCAAAATTTCTATATACACTTCAATATTTTGATGATATAAACTGTCATGACGACAATCTCTAATATACTGGTACATTTATATCAAAACGCAAATAGTTAATAAAAGTGTGGAAAAATAAAACTCAAAAAAAGATAAAAAGAAATTATAGATTTCACAAACATAATGCTTTCTTATCACTACGATTATTAGTTTAATTCGTGGTTAATATGTTTAGCATATTTTCAGTTTCTGATAGGGCAGGTTCTTGGTCTCGAGAGTTTTTTTGAGAGCTGACTGTTCTGGCGAACTGAGTTCCTACGCGTATGCCCACTTGCACTTCCTAGGTATTTGGTATAGATATCAGGACTGGATATTACAGCTTCAAAAGAATAGGTTTCGTTGTCGATATACAACTGATTATTTCTGATGGTGGCCTTTACTCCGTGTTTTTTTGCAGTATTCAGATAACTCCTGAGTTTTCTGTTGATTGCTTGATCTGCTTGGTTCAGATCATTAATAATGTAGATATTTTCACCTTTGAGTTTGTGTAATTTTTTTATCATTTCGACTTTCTTTATATATGATAGAAGTTCTAGTTTTAAAGTGTTTCCATTATTTTTAGTCGGAAAAAAAGTAGGCGTTATTGAGAGCTTTTCTTATATCAACGTCTAACTTGTTATTGAGATATGTCAGTGCCTCAGATATATCTGAAGTTTCGATGCCAAATACAATAATATTATATTTTCTGTGTCTTCTGTTTGTTATTAACTACCTGCAGTTCCTCTTTTATTTCCTTAGAAGTTTTATTGATTAGAACTTTATAAACTTCAGCAAGGCAGATTTTTATGTTTATCCCAAGAACATTTGTTTGCGATATGTTTACAATATTGTTTCGGTTGCAGCACCCCTGCTATTCACTTCGTTTCTACAGTTTCGGTCGGTAGCCGGGCGTTTTGACGTGGGGGCTTTGTTCACTCAGTCAATCGGCTGATGTGTGAGTCGATGGTTCAAGCCGCAGGCTGAACGGTCGATTTTCATTTGCTATCGTCCAACCCGTGTTAGGAATCACACTTCAAAAGGTCAGACCTCGTTAGTCCTCAGCTCGCACAAGTTTCGACTTCTGAGGGTGTCGTTCGTAGGGGTGACATAGCTGGTTAACGTAAAAAACATATTTTAATACCGTTTCGAGAATATTTCAGAGGTACTTTTGGTGTGGCAAAATTGAACAGATAATGCAAAACTATACCAGCTCACACAATACACAATATAAATTCACATTCACTTGCAAACATTTGAAATTTCTACGACTTCTGGAACAGGAGTAATAAGCAAATTATCACGAGTACATTCACACGCATGTATACTGAACGAAAGGCATGGTAGAAGAAATGAGAAACATATGTCGTCGAATGAAAATTAGAAAGATTTCTAGAGATTGTTGTTCCATGTTTTGTGGTAGACTCATTTCGATTATTATTCATTTGTAGTTCTGATGTATCTAATAGGAAGTTTACCAAGAGTTGTCGAGCCTTTTCGACCATGAATGTGTGATCGCACCTATAATAATAAACGAAACGTAACTCTCTTTCTCTCTCTTTCTTTCTTCACTAACTTATACCTCCCTCTCATCTTCCGTTCGTCTCTCCCGCAAACACTCTCCGTAACGCATTCGACACATATTCACCAGCTCACTTTTCCAGTCAAGCGCGCGTAAAGAAGTTCCACTTCAAAAATAGTAACTTCGAGATGCTACTACCTTTGTCCTCGCAGTCATCGCGCACTGAGAATGTGCCGCAGTAACAGATGAAATGTTTGATTTCTATTTTCGTAAAGATTAAAAACAAGCACTACAGGAAAATCTTTAAGGCGCTCTCAGAGCGGTGCTTGTACGAAAGTAGCGATTCACATAGGATTCGAATCGCTGGAGATCAAATCCATTTGGAAAAACGTTCTCAGGAAGTGTATTCCACATAAATGCAGTTTATGGTACTGAAATATCATTCGACCACGGCCCACCAGCCCGGATTTTGTTCTTTCCAATCGTGACTCCGACCTTTAATGCCTATGTGATCATGAAAAAAAATCATTCCTTTTTCTGATACTGCCATCTGAGTTTATTTATAAGGGACCAAATTCCAACATTTACGTACCTGAGTTTCACAAGTCTTTCACTAAGTCTATTTCACTACAACATACAGAAACATTGAAACATTATAGAGATAACAAGTTGGACATGGAATGAGATATGATATTCTCCATCTCTGACCATACTACCCTTCTATGCATACCAATATTCGGACAATACTGTCAGAAGATCTGTCCACTGGAGTTCGAATCGTAAGAGTAAATGCGGAGGACTTACAGCTGGTAGATTTTCTACAAGTATACACCTGAATGAGGCAAATACCGTAGTTGGAGAGGAGAACCCAGATATATCAACATGCATACAAACTTCTGAAAAGTGTCTTTCATTTCATAGCATTTATATCACTCATTCGCCCGAAGAGGCGACTTCTAGATTAATATAAAATGGAGACATCTCTCGATATAGCAGTTAGTTACAGGTAAATAAAACACTTTTAAGATTCAAATTTTACCTCGTTTGAAAGCTCATCGATTTATCTTCTCAACTATCTCTACATTTTCAAATTTGTTTTAGCAGTTATTGGGAAAAATCATAAAGAAAAAAATCTGCCAAAAACGAATTTTACGATTGTTACCAAAGTGTTTGTCAAACATTGCTGTACATGTTTGCTCACAATGTGAGACTTGGCATTCGATGCTTGTGATAAGGTTTTGCACTCCGTTGAAAGTTGTAATGATGATTTATCACCATTCCAACTCTTGAAATTCTTGACATTGATATATTTATTGACATTTTTAAACACGATATGATTTCTTTCAGATGGATCAGTTGAAAAGAACCAGCGAAGTGGCGCTGAGGTCACTCGATTTAGGTCACATCAAGACTACAACTCACTTAGTATCTCTACAAAATTCACGTGAATGCACATTTAGTCCAGGAGGAATTGGCGCAATAGTACTGAAAACCATTCCACCTCAATTTTTTTACGCGGCAACTTTGAAATTACCCTACTGATGATACAAATGCATGTTGACATGGGACAAACTCATGCCATATTGTTTAAAATTGAATTGTTCAAACAATTGTAAGGAATTGTAATTTTTCAACCGAACATTCGATTATGTATTGTAGTACAAATAAAAAACGTGTGTTCATCTCGGGACGCCCGACAGAAGTGATAATTTGAACTGATTCAAGTTGAACTATGGCTATCAGCTGAGTAGCTTGGAATATTACTTGAATTTAATATATATTAATATGATGATGTAGAGAAAGGTTATTTATCAATAAAATATTTCATATATTATTTTTTTTCAAAAAAATATCCGGTCCTTGCGCTTGTTTTAACAATTTCGGTATAAACAACATGGCACGGTTTCGAACAATATGAGAACATGAATTTATATCATTAGTGGGATAATTTCAAAAGAATCGCACGAAAAAATTGAGGTGCAATAGTTTTCGGTACTCATGCGCCGATTCCTCCTGGATGTCGGAAGATTACACCGGAAATGACTTTTCATTTATTGAACAATAACTGAGCAAGTGAAAGAAATAGAAAAAATACATAATTTATGAAAAACCATTCAGCTTGAAAATTGTTTTTGATGATTCATCAACGAAAAGTTATTAATATTGATTGAATCAGGTACCTGAAATATTTTCTGTAAAATGTTCTAGTTGTTACACTTCATTTTCGATAACAGTGTTTTTCTGGTCGACTGTAGAACTCCCTAAACAGCAACTACTTACCTGTTGAAATTTTTCTTAGAATAGTGCGCCTTTTCACCTGTGCATACCTATACATAATAATGCAATAGTAAAAGCACGGAAATTGGCCGACACCAAATTGTCACGACCGAAAATAGGGATAGGAATAGCATAGCAATCAGAAAGGTAGTAATCCTCTAAGCACTAGTCATGCATTTCATCGTAAACCAGGACCGAACTAGTTGTCCAGTCGTTTTAGGTCGATTTAGGCCTGTATTTCGGAAATTGACATACCCAGCTGTAAATTTGTATGAACTTTGTATTTTATCATCATGAAAGTATTCTCAAAATTCACATATGATTCGATGACCGCAACTTTGCAAAAGTTGGGGGTCAAATGTAAAAAAAAACGACTTTTCACAAATTTCTCGTTTCCAATGGGTTTTGAGCTGATTGTATTCATCATCAATATTGTAGAGAATTAAATTCTTTACAACTTTTGTTTTAAACATTTTTTCATACGTTGAATCGTTTTTGAGATAGAGGACAGCGCGAGCGCAGATTAAATATTATTTGAAATCAACTGGTTGTCCCGATCGAAATCAGCTTTATGCTATGTACGCTACAGATACTATACGTGAGGAAATTGCAATATTTTCTTGGAATTTTCAGAACAACACGTAGATTCCAGAAATTCAAAAATAAAAAAGATAATAATGACGTAAAGATACTACTACTACTTCATGAACCTTTTCCAATTACCAGACAGTTGATATCGTTAGCTTCTGGGATAGTTGGAAGTGAGCAAATCAACTGTAATAGAGCTTTTGACATCGGATTAGAATCTATGACTAAAATTACTGGTTTATCATTTCACCAAATGAAATTGAAACGCTCTGGTATTACCGCTTTCGATTGTTAATAAATCAGTTAAAATTATTGATTGTGAAATTTTAGTGGATCCATTATTATTATTCCAAAGAATAACGAAAAAAACAAAAATACAGACCTATTCGTCTCTATATATTACTGAAGATACTGTGGTAGAGGATTGTATTTTTTTTAAATTTTGATAAAACAACAAAATCTATTTTAACATTCCATCGAACTTTCGTTTTTTATTGTGACTTCTTCAGGTCGCTAAAATGTAAATATAGCAAGACATATAGTGAGAAATTTCACAAACCATAACTAGTAATGTAAAATGTCCCGTGGAACCCATATTTTGTCAAATACATTATTTTTTTCTTGATATAATTATTATTTTTCAGCAAATCTTTTTAATTTTTTACAGACTCTTTCAGGGATTTCAAATCAATTCATATCATATTAGACATCTTTCATCTATCTTTCATTTTTGAGATCATTTCTTCACAATGTATAAATAAATTTAACCAAAATTTCAGTCGAATCAAAAGAAGACGAAGATGATTGACAATCAAAACGTCGTGAAGTAACTTGGTTTGTGTTTTTTTTTTAATTCTTAATTTTTTCATTTCATTTTTTATTGTTCAATTTAAATTTTTTGTTTATTTTCATTTTATTGTAATTTCGTTTCATGTTTTATTGCTCAATATAATTGATATTTTCAGCTATTTATTTCAAGTTCATTTATTATTTTAGAGATTTCAAATCATATCAGACAATGGGAGTCTGAACTAGTAAAATTTAGTATTTTATAGTTTTTTTCTAACAAATGTTTGATGTGACTCTTCGAATTGAAATGTTTTCATTTGTGCCCCGAATTGAGATAAATACTATAATATATAGTGAAAACCACACCCTAATTTTCTCAACTGTTTTTTTAGATTGGCTCGCTCAAACTTCACATACAAATTACCAAAAATTTTTGTTGTGTCGCGTTAATGCACACCCCTAATGATAGTTTTTCTATGGTTAACCCTCAGTTATACTTTTATTATATTCATTGATCAAGGTATTGTGAAATACCCTGAATGTTCTGAAAGACTGATGTTTCACTAATCGAAAGATTGATGAGTCGACTAAAGGGGGGCATGTCCCTCATCAGTACCTTCTTCTGTGAAGGACCCGATCTTATAGGGGAAACATATCGAAGCGCTAATATCGTAAAATCGTTACGACCGGTCCTGTCGAAGAGGAATTCTTTTAGCCATCAGGCTGATACAAGTTTCATTCATAAGCTGCTGGCAAGGGACCACCGGTTCATTCAACCATCGCTACGTACAGAGAACACGAGTAATCTCATAACCTGAATAGTAGTTTTCGTTCGGCACCTGAAGAGAGTCTAGTGAGTGTATCACCTAATACTACCTGAATTCCCTAGCCGTAAGTTTTGGTGGGTCTTCAGAATACAGAAAGCTGTTTTACGCGAATAATCTTTTAGTGTGTTGTGATATTTTCCGGAATATTTGAAAACCACCGGCGTAAATATGTGGCTGACAGGTGTTGCAGCAGCACTTTTTCTGCTTTCGATAGCTAAACAATGTAAGTTGACTTTGTTTTGGCGGTTGTCTTGTCTTCAGAAAATCTCTATTGATTAATGATATGAATCACCTATTGTAACGGTAATTTGTTGAAAATGATTGTTTATTTGCATAAAACAACATAAAGCAACAATTGAGGACCATGTTTTCCTGAACTAGCATCATCAGAATTCAGGACCGAATCCTTTCTCTGATATCGAAACGAGCTAAAGTATGAATCATAAAGAATAGATCAAGTTTCACTATAATAAATAATAATGAACATCATTTTTATGTTAACCTATATTATTATTGAAACGGAACACCTAGTTTCCATTAGAACTTTGAGGTGGAGTTTCGTTATTGTTTTTTTATCTATAAAAGTGAATTTCACCGTTTTTACCATTTTGAATACCGATATGAAATTATGATTTTTAAAGAAACGCTACCTTCTGAAAAGAACTTTCAAGTTAGGGGTGAGTGTGTACTTGCTGTGCAATTCAAAAGTTACAACAATTAGTAAAAATTAGTTCTGATTTTCGCCCATAGAATATTTGTGAAATATGCTCCATTAACGTCAAAGCTGTATTCCGGGTATTATACAGTTATTTCCGGTCGTGAAAGTTAACACTTTATGATAATTCAGCAATTTTTAGAGTCATATTTATCTTTCTTGATGAAATGGATCATATTTCTACGAACAAATAATATCGATAACATCTTTCTTTTACTATATTGTTCAGGAATCATGTGGATGATATCTGATTCAATTCCATAATGAATGTTTGAAATATAAACTGGATAGAGAAAATTGTTTCTAGTGAAAGAAATGAATATTTCCACATAAGCCGCTGATTTTCAACTTCAGGAAGAAAGGTGATATGAGCTTTGAGAATGTTATTACGAATCGAAATGCATGATGAAAAATAAGGTGTTTCATTTTTTTTATTCGAAAATTTTTCATCAAGATTTTTGTTTCTCGTACATCTCTTGGGATCGATGCTAATCAGTCAATCTCTTAACAAATACCAATAGTATATCCTCTGATTTTCCTCACCACCCTACTACATTTTTGACTTTTGTCACTTTTCAAAACTCTATTCTTCATAATTCCAAAGAATCTTCCGACTGGTGAATCACTCTTTTTTTTTGATAGAATTTTGCGAAAAAAAATAGTTCCGGAAACGAGAATCTGAATTACTCAAAAAAAAGTAAAATTTCTCACTTTTCAAAAATAGTTTGTTGATGGAAATTTCAGAGTATATTTCATAAAAATTAGGCCACCATAGTAATTATTACAAAATCAGGACTACAGCTACCCATTGATTATACTTCAGCGTAAGATAATCAGTTGCAGATAATTTCTTAGGTACATACCTAAAATTGGTAGTTTTGCAGTTGATTTCTGTCAACATTTTCGATATTGCAATTAGTTTCACAGCACACTGGCGATTTGCAGAAAATTACCGAACGTGCGGAATCCTTCAAAGTTTCACTTGGGTTATGACGGTTGACTAATTACTTTTGAGCTTTTACTTCGGACATAAATCCAACATCAATTAATACTGACTTCGGTTACCGAATGATACAGCAAAATATTCCGACTGGTTGTTTTATATAGATAATTCTAAAAATGAACAATTGTTATTCATAAGAAGGTTAAGATTAAATATTTGAAATATTACCTAGCCAGAACGTTGTATTTACCATTCCATGGCATGCTGGCCGAAACGTAATTCTTCTTACGGTTGAGGTAGCATATTACCGACTGGTTGTTATATGTAGGTGTTTCTGAAAATGAACAATTGCTATTCATAAAGAAGTTAACATTAAATATTTTAAGTATTACCTGACCAGAACGTCGTATTACCATTATTTGACGAAAACATAATTCTTCTTACGGTGGAGGTAGCTTATAACCGACCTGTTATACCGGGTGTTCCAAATTGAGACGGAACCATTGTCAACTTCGTTATTATTGATGCTACGAATTCGGTTAAATAGGCAAACTAATAGCATTTTTGATGGCCTTCTTCTCAATGCTGAAAACAAAAAAAATCGACAGTCGCGTTTTCGGAAATGATATTTTTGTAAATGGAACACTGCAGCGTCACATTATTGCGGTTGGAAAGAGGTGTGTTCGATTCGATACAACAGAATTATTATGAGTAATCAAGGTGCTTCGAAACTTTGTCAAATGTTCTCAAGTATACCTAATCGTAACTGTCAACTACTTTCGAATATTTTTTGAAATGCCTTTTTCTCATCAAGAAAAATGTGATATGTTAGAATCCTACTTGATTTGCCAGAAAAATGGCGTAGGAGCACTCCAACACTACAGCAATTCGTTCCCCGATCGTGAATTACCTAACCGGCGGTTTTTTGCTGTGCTTCATCTTCGATTCAGGAACAATAAAAAAGTTTTTGAGAACAGGAGAACTAAAAATCTTTTAGCAATATCTGAAGATACAGAAATTGACTTTTTAGCCTACTTTGAGGTAAATACAAATAATTCCATCAAGGTCTTATCTATCTAGAGAAATAACTAGTCCATCGTCTGTTATTCAACGAGTATAAGTTAAGATCAGTGCAAACACTAAAACCTGGTGACCCTGATAGAGATTGGGATTTTGTCGGTGGTTTATGAATAAATGCAGACAAGGTACAAACTTCTATAGAAATATTATTTGGAGCGATGAGACTAATTTTTCAAATTGTGGGATGTATAATAGAAAGAATTTCCATTTTTGGCGTAGACATAGTCCATGCCCAGTTCATCCCCACAATTCACAAAGATGATTTGATATTAATATTTGGTGGGGCCTATTCAGAGGCAGATCTATCGACCCATTTTACTACCATGATTCCTTGAACGGACCCTGTTACATTAATTTATTAACAGGAGTGTTGGAACAGTTTTTCGATGATCTTGATCTGTGGGCAAAAATTGGCCCTTGGAACAAACTAAAAAAATCATTATGGCCCGAAGGCTTCAAAGTTTGGAGACTCCTGATCTAAGCTTTGCAACCTAATATGTCTCAATGACGCTCGAGTAAATCCACATTTTGCATCGTGGGCTCCCCTGATATAAAGAAGGAGCACCAATTAGAGTAACCGCGAGCTCGGTAGGTTCACCAGTGTATCAATTAGCAAAACACGTTGCTCACGCACTCCAACCACATGCGGAAAAGGTTAATTCGTACATACGCAATGCCGATCATTTAATAGATATACGGAAAACACAAACAGCCCAGACGATATCCTTGTAAGCTTTCATGTGATTTCGTTATTCACCCATGTGCCCACCCGTAAAGGCACTACAAATAATCAGAAATAAATATAAACCAGAAGAAAATATCATCACCTTGGTTGAAAATTGCATCAAAAACACGTATTTCATTTATAACGAGTAACGATATAGACCAACGGTCGACAACAGGTGGACCGCGGTCCGTTTGCAGACCGCGAAAGGTAGAACCTCGGACCGCCAAATATTGTAATGTGTTATATACCAAGTATAAATTAATACGTAGATAAGGTATAGTACACCTTTATCAATTAAAGTAATATGTTTAAGCCGCATAGAATTCAACTTAGTATGTACTTATTTTATTTCAAGTTGCCTAGTCAGTCTGTTTTACAAGTACCTAAAACTGATATGGTTTTATAAGTTTCTCATCTACCGTGTGTGTGTGTGTATTTGTGTGTGTGTGTGTATTTGTGCGCGCTTGCAACTGTTTTGTTTTGTTGAAACAAGCGCGAGCAAGTATCGAAATCGGAGTTGTCGGAGTGTGAGCGGGAAAAAGCAGACTCGTTCATTTGTTTTGTGATTTTTTAGCGTTTTCATAATATTTTCGTACCTATCCAAATATTAATCCTAAAAAGCGTAAAGTGGACAGTGAAAATAGGAGATTCGTGGCAGAATGGACGGAACAATATTGTGTTACGCTGCTTGATAGGCCTTAAGCGGTTCCAGTGTGCCTTAAATGCAATAAAAGTGTCGAATCAATTCATTAGCAATTTCACAAAAAAATTCCTCTTGGCAGTGAGGCTCGTAAAGGAAAACTATATGCATATCTCAGTTCTTACAAAAAAAGCACGAAATTACTAGTTCGTTGCATGAGCGAGCAAGAAAAAACCACAGAAGCAGCGTTACATGTGTACTGGACGCTTAATAAACACCAAAAACCATTTTCAGATTCTGAGATGGTGAAGGAATGTATGTTGGAAGTAGTCACTGTACTTTTTGGATTCCATTATCAGCTAGAAGTAATAAACAAAAAACGGAAATTTTAGCTGCTGCTATTAAAAACACTCTTCTTGAATTCTTGCAAAAGGCACCTTGCTATGCCATAGCACTTGACGAATCATGTGACATTATTGATGATGAACAAATGTCTATTTTCATGAGATTTCTTGATATTAGTGTCAGATTTTCAGGAAAGAGTTGCTAGCAATATTGCCGTTGAAAGGTAATACTCGAGGAGAAGATTTATTCAAGGTCACTGATGAGTTTATTAACATTAGTTATGATAAAATGGTGTCGCTTTCAACTGACGGGGTCCCAGCAATGATTAGCAGAGAAAAAGGTGTAGTAAAGACAATCAGGAATACAAACTCGGGTATAATACCGTATCAGTGCACAATTCACTAGGCAGCCCTTTGTGGAAAGCTTAGTGCTACACTGAAAGAAGTGATGGACAGCTTGGTCAAGTTAATAAATTTTATGAGGTCTCATTCTACTTTTCAGCTCCGACATTTCAAGGAGTTATTTTTTGAATGGGATTTAGCTTATTCTGACTCACTGTAACACAACAATGTTCGTTGGCTAAGTAAAGGTCAAGTTATTGAACGTTTCTGGCTGATAAAAGAAGAAGTAACCTCCTTCTTGCAAAACTTAGATACGGAAAGTACTTTAAGTTCATAACACATAAGCGTAATATGCTGGTCGTGGCTTTTCTAAAAGATATTTTGAAATATTTGAATGCGCTCAACACAGAATTACAAGGAAATGGAAAATTAATATGTGATCTGATACAAAGCGTGTCTGCTTTTCGTCGCAAACTGGATATCTTTGAAAAAGATATTGCAAGACAAGAATTTATTCATTTTTCGACAATTCTTGAATATAAAAAGAACTCTGAAGAAGACATTACCGTGTTTATAAAATTTCTGGCCGATTTTAGAAACGAATTTGCTACAAGATTCCAATACTTTGCAGAGATGGGCAAGCTATCCGTTTCTCAAATCACCATTTGAAGTTGATGTAGCAGCAGAATCGACCGATGTGGCTACCAAGTTGTTCAATCTGTCAAAGACATCCCATCAAATAGAGATAATAATTGATTTGCAAAAAGATGTGTCTTTGCAAATGTATAAAACGGTATCCACTGAAAAATTTTGGGCTGAAATGTCCCAGAAAAATATGAATATTGCAAAAAACTAGCTATACATTTCGCCACTATGTTTGGTTCGACATACATATGTGAAACATATTTCTCAAAGATGAATTTTTTGAAAAACAAATATCGTTCGAGATTAACGAACGCCCACCTTGAAAACACACTTCTAATTTGCTGTTCCTCTCAAGAACCAAACTATAAAAAACCTGTCTGGGCTTTGTTAAAATTTTCCGACAGTATCCGAACCCTACCTAAAACTACTTGCCGACCCCTGATATAGACAAATTGAGGGGGCACCATTGGGATCGCCACTATCTCCCATTATTGCCAATCTCTTTAGGAATGAAATCGAAAACAAAACAGTGGCAACGTCAGACCTGAATCCAAAACTCCGGCTGAGATATGTCGATGACATTTTCGTGATTTGGTCACATGGGCACCAAGATCTTTCAGGGTTTCACGATCACCTAAATGGAATTCATCATCGGATCAACTTCACGAAAAAAGTTGTAAAAGATAACCAGCTAGCATTTCTCATGTGTTGATCATGAAAAAGCCTAACCGTACACTAGGCTACACGATATATCAAAAAACAACACACACTAACAGATACCCGATCGCAAATTGACACCACCATTCAAAACAAATTCACTCGGTGGCGAAATCACTGATTACACGATCAAGAAAGCTGGCAGATAATGAACAGCAACATGGAGATCCATCGTATCACTCCACCAAATTAAACAGACTGCACAACCCCAATAGCAAAACTCGGCACGTGATAATTCAGCAAAATGACAAACGTAGGTAGGCCAGCACATGTAATCAGATCAACTCAGGTGGGGAAAATAACTCCGATGAAAGGTACCCGCCACACCTATAAATTAGGAAAGAGAGTTGCAGAGAATCAGTCTTGGTCCAAAATTCAGACATCACCAGAAGATGGCAAATGAGACTTTGCCGAAACATCGTGAATATGGTCCTTGTGAGGATAAAAAATACATAACACGGAATGAAACCCGTAAAAACAACCCATCTTACCCTGTCCGTGAGAATCTTCGATTTAACACTTCTGTTGTCTTCTAGAAGACAAGGTTACCTCGGTTATAATCAGAAACCGTTAACTTTCACTGATGACTTCGGTGTTACCATAATACACGGAGATGAAATTTCATTCGTTTCGCAATGTTATCATTGCTTTCATGTGATTGAAAGTTCTCTTCTAGTACATGTTGTTTATTATGTTCACTTTCCTGTTGAATATCGGATGAGTTCGTTTAAATAGAATCCATTTGAAAAAATGAGACCAACTTCAGTAGCAAAATAGGTAATAATGAAGTCGTCACGCTTAGTGTGCTGGAAAAAACACACAAGCGGGTGCCACAGTTACGATTATATATTTAATTATATCGGTTTAGGTGTTATTCTTATAGCTCTATATTCTTTCATTTTCCTCTAGCGAGTGTCAATGAAAAATTGGTTACACAAATGGTTTATCCTCACATTTCAAAAGTACATGTTTATTGAGTATTGAATATTCCGCTGCCTGAGAGTAATTTTCAGAGAGAGCTGCTTTTGATCAAACAAATCGCGGTCAACAACGGTTTAAGGTAGATATTATAGACTCCATTCTGCCCAAAAATCTACGAAAGCAAGCCATGGACCTGGTCTACCCAAATTCAAGATGCGATAACGTCAGTTATAGAACATTGTCATTATTAGTTGAATCAACCAATAATATTGCTCGTTTTTTAAATAAAGAATGCGTAA